AGAAATTTTGAATGCTGTAAATTAGAAAAATAAATTTATTTATTTTTCTTGTCTATTGTTAGAAATAAATGTGATATTTCTGCTTTTAATAAAATTGTGATATTTCTTTCTACTATTTTAAATATTTAGACATTGTAAAATTCATGTGCAAATGACTGCCTTATTATTTAAAAATTGACATTTTTGCAATTGATTATAGTATTGTTGTGAAATGTTTATTTGTGGATTGATATTCCATAAATTCTGATAATTCCGTATTCTTGAATTTTATAAGAGTTTTTCTATACATATTAAATTGGCAATTATGCTAGAATGCCTTTACAAATTGCTACCTTTCTAAATTTGAGCCCAAAATATTTGATTGGTTATTTTTGAAATGTTATAGAGAGTGACTGATATTAATGGTTCAAGTGAAATTCATATTAATAGTTTCAGTGATATGTTGAGTACATGATATTGCTGCTTTCGAATGTTTAAAGAGATTTAGAAATAATTTAAGTATGTAAGTGGACTCATCCGGTTCCCCGGTGAGGTATAAGTGGACCTATCTGGGATGCCGGTAGGGATTAAGTGGACTCATCCGGTACGTCGGTGAGGTATAAGTGGACCTGCAGAGATTAAGTGGACCTATCTGGGACACCGATAGGGATTAAGTGGACCCATCAGGACGCTGATGGGGTATATAGGTGACCTACTTGGGACGCCAGTAGGGTATTTTGTGAAATCCTTTGAATTATGTACTGCGTTAAAAGTGTTATATGCATTTCAATTACTCGGATTATACTTAGTTATGCATTTATTGAAAGTGAAATTGTTGATGCATTTCTGTTAATAGATCTCCTTTTGGAAAATATTGATATCTTTCAATCATGATTATTTTTAGGATTATGATGATCACTTACTGAGTAGCCAAACTCATCAAACTATGGTAAACATTTTTCAGGATAACTGTGGATTCATTTTGAGTGCTAGTCAAGATCAACCTTGGAAGATACTGTTGTTGTACTAGCTTTCTTTATTTACTTCGTAAGACCTCGCCCCTGTAAATTTGTCCTATCAATAGATGTATATATGTTTTGTCTGTCACATCTCTGGAATAACAGTACTGTAAATTCTTGGGGTGTGACAACCATCATTCACACAGTAGGTACCCTTGCACATAACATAATTGAATCGCAGCTGCCGGTATCATCATTCACACAGTAGGTACCCTTTCACATAACATAAGAATCATGATACCATCATTCACACAGTAGGTATCCATTCACATAGAGTATAAGCATACAGTAGATATCCATTCACATATAGCATAAGCATTATGATATCATCATTCACACAATGGGTATCCATTCACATATAGCATATGCATTCTTAAAATCATGCAATTCATATTGCAACAGGGCATTCATCATAATCATACTTCCATGTCATAGCAAAGCATAACTTCATTATCATGCGTGTGCACGTGCACTCGCAATTTGGGTCCTAACTTTTGGACCATTTAGTGTTTGAAGACGGTTCCAAAATCAATTTTGTACCAAACACACATATCCCTCACTTGGGAGTGGTTTAAGGACAACAGGGTTCCATTTGGCCTCTTAAAGGTTCAAGGAAATAAGGGTTAACTAACTGCCCCCTGCTGTGTACAATGGACAACAACATACCCTGCTTCAAATCATTATAATATTCAAACCGTAAGGCAACTTGTGATGGATATAAAATAAAAGTTTAGGCCAAGACGTATGCCTTTCTAACAAACCAAGTTTGAACGTATTTGGATTCCATTTGGTGAAAAATTCATGGCAAACAAGGTGATAGTTCTATTTTTTATCAATACTGCCCACAGTGACATACCTTCATAATGCAAGGTATAACTTTCAATCTAGGAAGCCTTTCAAAATAGTTTCCGCGTGCAAATTTTAGCCCCATTTAAAGATCTTTCAAATGGCTATGGTTTAGCCAAAAATGAACTTCGTTTGGCTAGCTAAAATCAATGACCACAGTAGTATAAATGAAAAATCCAGGAAAGCAGTTAATAATGATATACCTTCCCATTTTGAAATATAGCTTCATTTTTGTAAATATTTCAGCAATGGGTGAAAACAAACATTTTACTAGACTCGTATATCTTTTCAATCGGACCCCATTTGACTGTTCAAAAGCCTTTTACAAGGACATGTAAACCTCTAGAATTTCACAGTAGCATACAACATGTCTCACGCATACATTCAATGATCTTCATTTCATGGTGAGGCACTTGATAAAAACCATTCTCTCACAATGTGAACACTCACATAATCATGCATACTATGCATTTCTTATATAATCGGAGAATTATGCATTCATTCTTGACATTCACCATTATCATACAATGGTGATGGATCCACTTACTTAAACAACAATGGTGTCTTCTCCATTCCTCTCCTCATAGCTCTCACCCACCCAACAGTGGCTGCCCACCTTGTGTCTTAGAGAGAGAGAGAGAGACGAAGTAAGAATGAGTGGCACAAGTGATGAAGGGGGCTTAAGTACTCTTGGGTTGAGGTGGCTGGCCAAGTGTCACCAAAAGACTGTAAAATCTGGACATGTGGCACTCAATCAGCATGCATATAACAAGTGTTATACACAACTCATGCATGTGAGAGACACAACTGGCGCTGTACACAAATCCACCCAGCGTTGGCCTTTTCACCAGGCGATGGCTCTTCCCCCGGCGCTGGTTCGTCCAATTGGCGCTGTACACAAATCCACCCAGCGTTGGCCTTTTCACGAGGCGATGGCTCTTCCCCCGGCGCTGGTTCGTCCAACTGGCGCTGGCCTCTCCACACAAATCCACCCGGCGCTGGCCTCTCCACACATATCCACCCGGTGCTGGCCCCAACCTCAGCCTCCCTATCCCGCTATGCCTTCTAACTTGCCGGAAAAAGTTTGGGTCGTCACAGTTGATTTGGTGAAATGTGACTAAGCGACACAATCTGTGTCATAGGCCCTAATGCTGACCAAATGAATGAACTGACACCAAATGGTCTGGGCAGCACAAAGTGTGTCGTTTTGGGAATGCCCTGGCAATACACTTTGTGTCGCTTCATTCAAAGTTTAACAGAATCACGGGATTTTTATTTTTAGTTTTTCTCACGAGGTTTTGATAAGTATTATCTTATTTTTTTATTTAAAGGTGATGTTTATCCCATATTTGGATTATTTTCAAATTTAAATAAGAGTTTACAAGGATAAGGGAACCATTATGTTTTGTGGTCCAAAGTACTTTGGGACAGTGTGGTCCTAAGGGCTGGAAAGTAATGGTCTATAACATCCACAGGATGGTTGATTACTAAAAAAATTTACTCTTCTCCTCAATTTCTGATACTCTCTCTCTCTCT